CAGAATTCCCCAGCCAGCCATGGGAGTTGAAGTCCACTCATCTTAAAGTGGCCAAGTTTGGTCAACACTGCATAGATCCCTCTCTCCCTCACCTTCAGATGCTTCTCACCATAACAAGTATCCAAGGATGAAGGGCTACCACATATTCTTTTATTCCCCGCCCCCCAAGCTATTCTATTGTTCTGTCCATTGACCCAAGGACATCTTAATCCTCAGTTTATCTGAGAAAGGAAACAAGGAAGATGATGAACTTTCTTTCCTCAGATGCATTGCAGGATGATAGGGAGACCCAAGAGACTTGCTTCATAGGAAGTTTGCAAGAACTACTGTCATGCAGAAAAATTGGCCTGCATTTTTCCCTATCAATTCTCCCTCAGTTTGATGAAATAAAATTTACTTTCAGTATTTATTCCAAAGAAGAAAAGAATACAGTTGTGCTGCGTATTACAGAATTTCCCCATGATTTTCACTCCCTTTAGGTAAATACACATTTAGCCGCCCAACTTGAGTTTTGAAGGAAACAACCAGGCTTAACTAGCAATTGCTATGAAGGAAACAAAAAGGAAAAAAAGCTGAAGAGAGGGTGGATTTTTTTAACCATCTGTTTTGTTTTCTACCCAAGTGCTTATGGCCTTTGCAGAAGCTTTAGAGCATTGGAAATTCACCAGCTTTACAGCCGCCTGAAATCATTCCTGGTTGCTATGGAGATACTGTTCTTTCATTATGAATCCTTCTTGAAGGTGGAGGGCATTGGCAAGATTAAATATAACTGCCTTTCTTTCTGAGGGGACAGAGAACAGAGTCCAGAGCTGCACGAGCACTTCACCTGAAGAAAATAAGCATTAAGAGTTAACATCTTCATTCAAAGAACACAAACCAGATGTGTAATAAGGTCATTATCCAAGAGAGACATGTTTTTCAAATCCCCTGAAATTTCAGATTGCCCTCTAAGGAAAATCTGCCTGTGAAGGTACCATTGATTTCTGAGATATGACACAAATGCTGTTTTATTTAGAAAAATGAAGGATACACAAGGAAAACAGTGTCGCTTCTTCTCAGGAGGGTCCGACTTGTTCTTACATGACTGAAAAGCCAAATGACTTGGGGCATAGCTCTAATAAACTGGGATTGTCCTAGGTTTTAGATCTCTTAATAAAATTTGTTTTGAAGGCCAGCCTTATTATTAGGCAGAGTTAGTAAGGCTGCTGCAATATGTCGTTGGTGGGACAGAAACGTCTGTTCCAGAAAACCTTCCCTCATACCCCCTGAGTTAACCTGCTGCCCTTCTGTGCAATGGAAGATGCTGCCCCATTGTCAGAATTTAATAAGTTTCATTTATTAGACCAGTCATCTTTTTTTATATGGAAGGGTTACTCTATGGCTGCAAAATATCTTGAGGTGGCCTCAAGATATATATTTATATTATTATTGAGGGATATCTCCTAATGGGGACAGTGTATTTCATCACAAGGAACAGGCTAAGGCAGCTTACTGATAAAACGATGGAAAAAAAGATACTGCAAAGTGATCCAGCCGGCAAAGGAGTTCTGTAGATATGTAATTGAGATTAAGACTGTAACTAGGAAAGCCTTGCCCTGCCTTAGGCACTGCAGCACTTATGTATCAATTTAAAAAATGCATTGCTAGGAAAGAGGACTGAACTGAATAAAACTTGCACATGCTAATTTATATCAAGAGAGCCAGTTTAGTGTTGTAGTTAGGGCATCTGGCTAGAAACCAGGAGATGATGAGTGCCAGTCCCGCCTTAGGGACAAAGCCAGCCAGATGACCTTGGGCCAGTCAGTCTCTCTTAGGCCTAGGAAGGAGGCAATGGCAAACCACCTCTGAAATCTTGCTAAATAAACTGCAGGGACTCATCCTGACAATCACGAGGTGTCCACCCTGACTCAAAGATGCACACATTTAGAAATAACTGTATGCTTTAAATGAAAATGAATCTCACCTCATTACTGTAGGAAAGACCAGGATCAAGTGACTTGTGGGGCCTATTCAATCTGCTTCCAAATGGTCATTACCGATGGGCTGCCAGTATTAGGGATAACTAAACATGCAGAAATGGCACCAGTACCAAATTCTACCTTTTAAAAACTGAGAATCTGCTGCACCGGTTTGGAAATGTATTACCAGTTGATTTCCAGGGCTGATCAGTTTTAGCTTTTAAAGTAGGCAAGATCATATATCACAACTAATTATAACATGGTTTGTTTAGTTTCATTGTCTAAATAGTGGTTTATGGATTAATGTAAATATAAACCCAGCCATTATAGGTTATTCAAACCCTGATAGACTCTGTTCCATATGGCATCTTCATGGAATGTGTCCACATCAGGAACTGTTGCCCAAGATTCATATTCCCATGATATAAAGGATATGAAAGTTTTTAATATCACATATCTATCCACAGGATAGAAAGACAAAGCGCACATGGATGCAAGAAATAGGAATACATTCACTAACAGATCATCTTGTTCAGTAAATACTCCTACAGATTGCCTTCCATACCACAGAGTATTAAATAGATACTAATTAGGAAATAGCACTTTTAATGTTTTCAGGGACTGGAGGAAATTAGGGAAGTACATATGAGGAGGAATTGACTTTATGGAATTTTGAAAACACAGAAACATTTGCAAATTCAATTGCCAGTCTAAGAGTGCTTTATTACATCCTCTATTTATCCTACTAGGAAAAGAACTGGCTTTGAACATTTAGCATTGGCCCTTATTATAATATATATACCTCTTCTAATATGCAAGTTGCTTTTTATTTGCCACATTTAAGCATTAGGAAAAAGTTTCTGTTTAAGGTACAATACAATTCATTTCAAAATCAAACATGTAAAATGCTCTAAGCTGTTTAAATGAAGCCATTCAAAGGCAGAACAGCAGTAGGAACAAATTCTGGTTAACTCTCACATATTTTGGAAGAATAAAAGAGCAATTCCTTGTATGCTTCTTGAATTGAAAGCCCATTTGCGTTCACTGGAGCAAATTACTAAACAAATATACATAAGTCTGAAGCCTAAGAGTTCTTTCATATCTCTATAAGTCCAAGTTGCAACATTGAGAAGATGATGGAAAAGGCTTTGCCTGAAGCCATAGGCAGGTGTATCCATCCAAAAAAGAACCTTTGTCCAGTGCAAAAAAATAAATAAATCTAGTAACAGAGCATCCCCCAAAAGATGGCTGACCAGCCTCTGCTGGAAGAAAGGCCTCCAGGAAAATTCACAGTCCTTTCAGTCAGATTCAAATCCTACATCCTCCAGATAATTCATCCATAATTCCCTGTCAATTGGCCATGCTGCCTAGTAATTATGTGGTTTGTATGTCAACACAACTGGAAGGAACAAATCAGAGAAGGCTACTAATAATTGCTTCTGTTATCAACTGCTTTTACCATTAAGAAGTTTATCATAATATTCAAAGAACATTTTCCTTCATCTGACTTAACTGGATTATTCTAGTCCCGTCCTCCTAGACAGTGGAGAAAAACGTTCATATATAATCTTTCAGGAAATTCAACATCACTCTCATCTTCCTTTGTGATGCTCTGGTCTCCATGCTAAACATTCATAATTCTTCAGATTTTCCTCTATCCATTACATGTTCTAATCTATATCCTGCCTTCTCTATATCTTGGCCAGAATTAGGCCCAGTCTCCAGAGGAAATATGTGTAGTGCCAAATATAATGAAGCTACTCAGAACACATGGTTCTATTAATGCCACCTCCAATTGATACACTACTATCTTGGCTATTCACGCAGACATGAGCAGAAGTCCTTTAATTCTCTTCTAAACTTTCTGAATTAGTGATATGCTGGATAACTGTGTGCTACCATTGAATGATATAGAGATAAGGAAAGGGTATAAAACCTATAGACTTCCATACAGGGCTCAGTAGTGATGAAAGTTGTATTCTAATGAAATTGAATGGAGGGGGGGTCACTTCCTAATATAAGAGAGGAATTCCATAGTAGGGAACAGATTTTTCTGCCTAAGGAAGGGTGCAAGATCAATATATGGTACCGCACAAAAGAATGTAGGTGAAGCTTGCATTAAGACTTCAGAATATCTGACTTGGTAAATTCCCTATTTTAAATAGCAATGGAAATTCTTTTTTCCCATTTTATCAATGTCCTTTTGGAGCATATACTTCCTATTACAAAGGTGGGCAATCTGAAGCCCAGAACCCAAAGGAATTTTCATTCATTCATTCATTCATTCATTCATTCATTCATTCATTCATTCATTTTTTTTTTCTAATTTATATAGCCACCCATCTCAAATTTATGACTCTGGACATATATGGTTCCTGAAGTCACTTCTGAAAGATTGGTAGTGCAGTCTCCCCACCACCACCACCCCACCTTGCCATTTGATGCATAAATATATCAAAAGTAGAGAATAAACGTTTGCATGGGTTTAAAATACAGATAAATAAATTATACTGCAAAACCTGAAAAAGTAGGAAACATCTGGTTCCACTCAGGTGTATACCATGGTCCTGTCTACTTTGCAACATGGCATATACTATGCTAAGCCACAATGCGGTTTCTTTGACTATAGCTTAGTATGACATGTCAATATAACCAGTTATGACTTATTCAACAAATCATGATTAAATAAGTCATGGAATAACACAATGTATGAGTTTGGCCAGTACATCTAAGCTGCCTCACAAGGATGTCATGAAGCTCAAATATGGAGATGAACATGGGTTAAGCTTCTTACAAAAAAAAAAAGGAAAAGGAAAAGGAAAAGGAAAAGGAAAAGGAAAAGGAAAAGAAAAAGAAAAAGAAAAAGAAAAAGAAAAAGAAAAAGAAAAAAAGAAAAAAGTCAATGTAGTGAATTCACTTCCATGAATAATAGACTAGACTGCTGGCTAAAAAAGAATTATCTGTTAAGCCAGACTAGAGCTAAAGGAAAACTTTGACCATGTCTACATGGCTGACCTTGTCAATCATCCTCTCCCACAGCCAATTCATTCTTTTGTATGTGCCAGCAACACATGATCCAGAAGGACTGGATCAATCATCTCTCAGACATTTTTGAGTTTTCCAGGCTATCGAGGATGCTGTCACTTCCTTTCTTGTTCCTGGGATTCAGGGGGTTCTGCCAGAGAGGAAAAAAATAATCTGTGCTAGCCAAATTAAGCAGGTGGTATTGCTACAAACAGAATTGAGGAGGGGGCTTATGCCTCCCCATCCTTTTTTGCCCCTAATTTTATCTCAGTATATGGTTGCAGGTGATGAAAGGACAAGGGAGACAGAACTCCTGTCCTTTGTCTTTGCCTGAGAAGAAAGGAAATATCTAAGCAGTTTGGATAGTACGGTTGAGCAGGAGAGTTATTTTTGCCCCAAACAGCCTTTGAGTTTTTAGGGCTAAAACTAACGACTCAAAATCATTTGATTCAATTACTTGATTTGATTAGGATGTTAACACAACATGCTAATCCCCTATAATTCAGTTAACCTAACCTGTCATCATCAGGGTCTTTATCATCTGAATACATCATGATTATGTTCATATAAGCATGTTTAATTGGCCTTTTGAAAAGTGCAGGAAAGGCATTTCTCTGACATAGCTAAATTTGCTTAGTGTTAAACCTGGCTAGCTTTTTTGTGGTTTTGTGTGTTATGCAAACTCAGCCTGTGTGGTTAGTTCAATAGATTGTGTAAATCCAGAAAATGTAGTAGCCAGATTAACTGTGTTGTATGAAGCCTATGAAAACAGACCCATTCTTAAGTGTGCTATTTTGTTATATGCCTTCATGCTCTGTAATAAAATGGATTGACTTGGCCATAA